TGTGGCACAGCCCTGCTGCTGGGCACCTCCAAACCCTCCTGAGACAGCCCCAGCCTGAGGAGAGCTCAAACAGCATTTAGAGCAGATAGAAACACCTTTAATGCACCTACAGGCAAAATCAGGGATGTTCTCTACCCTCAAATGGCTGAATTATACTGAAAAAGTAATTAAATAACTAAGAAACAATTACCTCTCTCGCAGCTGAAATCAGGACAAGAGTTAATAGGATTTTTCATGTCACTTCATTTTCTGGGCTAGATGCAGCTCTTCCAAAGTTGAAGACAGACATTCATCCAAGGAGCTGGATAGGGGAACTTCTCCTCTTTTACAGGGGAAGTCACAAACCAAATTCCCCACCATGTACAACTCACCAGAATTAACCTAAAGGAGATTGCAAAGCCTGAATTTTGCAGCAGAAAAGTCCCTTGGAGGGAGATCACTCAGTTTTCTGCTGTGCAGCACCTGCTCCAGCCTTTATCAGCCACTCCTTTCTATGTCCATCTTCCCTCCAGCCACCTGCACCATTCCCATTCATTGTTCCCAAGCATTTTCCAGTGGGTGCAGTGCCCACAGCACCAGGACAGGGTGTTGTGCCCAGGAGCAGATGCTCTGGAGCATTCAGGAGTGTGAGGATACCTGATAATGGCTTCAGTTGTTCCCCTCTTGTTATCCTGTAAATCACAGCCCAGCTGAGCCTGAAGAGCCTCACTGAGTTCCTCTGATCCCTCAGGAAAACCCAGAAACCTGAATTCTTTGTGAAAATCCTCTCTGCAGTCAGGTTCAGCGGGTTTGGAGAGAATTCATGGTTAGTTCGTGCCACAGGGATCCCACCCGTGCTGCAAGGACCAACTGTCCCCTCTGAGTGTGAGCAGGGAGCGATTCCAGCTCCCGTGTGCCAGCCTGGGAGGATCTCAGGGCAGACAAGGCTGCACCACCCTCTAGTGCACACCCACAGCAGTGCCTGTACTCAAAGGATGGGAAAAATTCCTAATCCAGCCCGGCTGAGCCTCCCGGAGCGGGGCTGGCACCAGACGTGAAACAGCAGCTGGGAGCAAAGGGAGAGAGCTCCTCGGAGAGGGAACCCAGGGCAGAACCAAGGGCTGGCCTGGCCGTGGCACGGGGAAAAGCCACTGCCCTGCACCCAGCACTGTGCACATGCAGCACCCTGCACCCAGAGCCCTGGCAGCCCAGACCCCTGGGACCCTACACCCTCAGATCCCTGGGACCCTACACCCTCAGATGCCTGGAATCCCAGACCCCACACCCTCAGATCCCTGGAATCCCAGACCCTGCACATCGAGCAATCTGCACCCCATATCCCTGTATTCCTTGGAATTCCAGACCTTGCACATCCAGCACCCCACATGCCTGGAACCCTGGTAGCCCAGATCCCTGCACCCCACACCCTCAGATCCCTGGAATTCCAGACCCCACACCCTCAGATCCCTGGAATCCCAGGCCCTGCACATCCAGCACCCTGCACTCCATACTCTATATCCTTGGAATTCCAGACTCTGTACATCCAGCAACCTGCACCTCACACCCCTGGGATCCCTGTAACCTGCATCCCTGACACCCCAGCACCCTGCACCCCACACTCCTGATCCCTGGCAGCCAAGGCCCTGGAATCCCAGGCCCTGGACCCCATATCCCTGGATCCCTGGAATTCCAGACTCTGCACATCCAGCACCCTGCAACCCAAATCGTGTATACCTGGGACCCCAGACCCTGCACATCCTGCACCCCAGACTCCAGGATCCCTGGCAGCCCAGATCCCTGGAATCCCAGATCCTGCACCCCATATCCCTGTATCCCCAGAACTCCAGACTGCACATCAAGCACCTTGCACCTCATACCCTGTATCCTTGGAATTCCAGATTCTGCCCCCCACACCCCTGGATCCCTAGAATCCCAGATTCTGCACCCCATATCCCCTATATCCCCAGAATTCCAGACTCTGCACATCAAGCACCTTGCACCTCATACCCTGTATCCTTGGAATTCCAGATTCTGCACATCCAGCACCCTGCACCCCACAGTCCTGGACCCCTGGGATGCCAGACTCTGCACCCCACACCCCTGTACCCCTGGAATCCCAGCCCCTGCATGCCATATCCCTGTATCCCTGGAATCCCAGACTCTGCACATCCAACACCCTGCACCCCATACCCCAAACTCCTGGATCCCCAGCAGCCCAGATCCCTGGAATCCCAGGTCCTGCACCCCACACCCCTGGATCCCTGGAATTCCAGACCCTGCACCCCATATCCCTGTATCCCTGGAATGCCTGATCCTGCA